AGGTGCGCGTGACCCAAGCCATAATATTTTCAGTCGGGTGCTTGCAAAACCTGGGCAATGAATAAGGAATACTGAAGAAGAATTTATGCCTTTGAATTGTGGTGTTGGTGAAGAATATTGAATATACCATGGATTTCCAGAAGAATGAACAAATCTGTCTTGGAAGAAGTACAGCCAGCATGCTCCTTGATAGTGAGGATGGCAAGACTTCTTCTCACGTACTTTGGACATGTTATCAGGAGGAACCAGCCCCTGGGTAAGGACATCATGCTTGGTAAAGTAGAGGATCAGCAAAAAAGAGAAAGACCCTTAATGAGATGGATTGACACAGTGGCTGCAACAGTGGGCTCAAACATAGCGACGATCCTGAGGATGGTGCAGGACTGGGCAGTGTTTTGTTCTGTTGTATATAGGGTCGCTATTATTTGGAATTGACTATATGGCACCAGACAACAACAACAACAACAACAAGCTCCCTGAAATAACCCCCACTCCTCACTTACCAACATGGTTAGGTCCAAAGACCAGGTCTTTATATAGAAATCGGCATTATGGGAAAATGGAGGATGACTACATCACTACATAACTGCCAAATTGCATCATGTGTGTAACTACCAAATTACATCATTACACAACTGCCAAATCACTGAGAATCCTGGTCCAGCCAGGTTGACACAGTTTTAACCATCACAGGCAGCATTACTCTCACCTTGCACCTCGGCCTTCATTACTACCATAGCTACATCATTAATATGCAAAATAGTTGGATAGTAGATGTTATGGATTGACCTTGTGTCCCCCAAAAATGTGTGTCAACTTGGCTAGGCCATCATTCCCAGTATTGTGTGATTGTCCACCATTTTGTCATCTGATGTGATTTTCCTTGTGTTGTAAATCCTGCCTCTATGATGTTAATGAGGCAGGATTAGAGGTAGTTATGTTAGTGAGGCAGGATTCAATCTACAAGATTTTTGACACGTAAAAGAGACCAGCAAGCAGAGAGACAGGGGGACCTTATACCATCAAGAAAGCAACACCATGAGTAGAGTGAGTCCTTTGGACCCGGGGTTCCTGTGTGGAGAAGCTCCTAGTCCAGGGGAAGATTGATGACAACGACCTTCCTCCAGAGCTGACAGAGAGAGAAAACCTTCCACTGTAGCTGGCACCCTGAATTTGGACTTCTAGCCTACTAGACTGTGAGAAAATAAATTTCTCTTTGTTAAAGCCATCCACTTGTGGTATTTCTGTTATAGCAACAGTAGATGACTAAGACAGTAGATTTTCTACTATTATTGTAAATGCAAAATGTCAGATAACAAGATAGTTGATAACTGAGGACTAGGTGTACTGTGCTGAGAATAATTTTTAGGCCATGTCCAGGCTCACTGGGAAAGTTCTGTTAGATTAGCACGTCTACTCTGGACGATAAGGAGCCCTGGTGGTACAATAGTTAAGCACTCATCTGCTAACCAAAAAGTTGGCAGTTTGAACTCACTCAGCAGTTAAGAGGGAGAAAAGACATGGCAGTCTGCTCCCATAAAGATTACAGCCTAGCAAACCCTATGAGGCAGTTCTACTCTTTCACATGAGGTCAGCGATGAGTTGAAAATTCGACTAGGCACCCAGCAGCAACAACCCTGGATGATAAAGGGGAGAGTGGTGGAAGAAAGAGCCTTTCACAGAAGTTACTTTGGAATTGAGTAATGTTTTACAAAGGGCCTTATATCAAATTTTGTAGCTAGCGTTTAAAAAAAAAAAAAAAACTTTCATTAACTTTTGTCATAAGTAGTTTCATGAATGAAGGCCTCATTTTTAGAGTTAAAAGTGTGTCGTCCTTAAAGTACTTAATTTGAGAGTTTTCATTTGTTAATCATAAGCTGTAAGAGATTGTAGAGGTGGCTTCTAGTTAGTGTTTTAATGAGATGCAGCTTGATTCGAAAACTTCAAGGCAAAAAAAAAAAAAAAAATCCATTGCTGTCTAGTTGATTCTGACACAGAGTAGAAGTGTCCCATAGATTTTCCAAGGCTGTAATCTTTATGGCATCCAATTGCCCATCTTTTTCCTGTGGAACAGCTGGTGGATTTGAACTGCCAACCTTTTGGTTAGCAGCCAAGCCATTAACCACTGTGCCACTAGTGCGCTCTCTCTCTCTATGTATATGTATATGTATGTATGCTACAGTGCCCCAGGAAAGGCTGCCATTTATTGACTGCCTACTCCATGCTATTCAGAGTGATAGATGCTTTACATTCCCCACGTCCCCCACCAGCTTTATAGTACCTTTTGAGTTAGGCTTGAGTATTTGCTTTTTAAATGATCAGCAATTAAACCGTAGGGCATTTAGTAATTACCCAAGATGGTATGTCTGACAAGGTTGTGTAGCCAGGATTCAGACCAGTTTTTGTCTGGCTTCAAAGTCCTTGTTCTTAACAAAACCGGACCATGTCTTGTTGAAATCTGAGAGCACAGATGTTTCCCAGTGATGGTCTATGTTTTACATACACTTGAGGACAGCTTTTGGAGTTTGGTTTTACTGTCTTTACGTGTTGTAACTAAACCAAAACAGAGAAGCATTATTTTCTAATACTTGTCAATCATTATTTTCCAATATTTGCCAATGAGTTGTTTTTCTGTAGAGTGTAATGTTTCATTTAGCAAGCCTACAAAAGGTCAGCAGTTCAAATCCACCAGCTGCTCCCTGGAAACCCTATGGAGCAGTTCTACTGTGTCCTGTAGGGTCACTATAAGTTGGAATCCACTTGACGGCAGTGGGTACTCTGGTTTGAGTGAATTTACTTAAATTGAGACAGAAAATTCACTCATGATCTTTTATTGTTTGGGAAATAAATTATGTGTGAATTGTGTTCTCAAGGTGTTTATGTACTTAAATTTGGTTTGGAAAAAATAAATCTTGCAATTTGGCAAAAATATATTATTAGCAGAAGCATGTACTTTGGCGATATCTTAACTCAAACTGTAAATGTTATTGATAACGTCCTTTTCTTTTTTCCAGATTCCTTGGCATTACTCAGTTTTCACCTACACATGCCAGAAAGGCATTTCCTTGTTTTGACGAGCCAATCTACAAGGCTACTTTCAAAATCAGCATCAAGCATCAAGCAACCTATTTATCTTTATCCAATATGCCAGTGGAAACTTCTGTGTTTGAGGAAGATGGATGGGTTACGGATCACTTTTCACAGACCCCTCTCATGTCCACATATTACTTAGCCTGGGCAATTTGCAACTTCACATACAGAGAAACTACCACCAAGAGTGGGGTTGTTGTAAGTATTTTAAGCTTAATGATGTTTTTGGATAATGTACCCTCTGTAAAGTAACCTGATTTCTATATTAACAATGAATCATTTCTAACCTCTTTGTATTTTATTTAGCTGAATTCTTAACTCTTGGGGAACAATTATCTTCCTGGTTTCAGAGGATCAGAGAGGAACCTCTCTTCTGTACCTACCTCTTATTCCTTTAAACACTTGCCTACCCCCCGCCCCCATCCCTGTTTCTCCTGATTTCCACCTCCACTCCTGGCTATCTCTGGAGCAGCTGTTGTCTGTTTTGGGAAATTGCCCGCTTTGATTTATGAGACTGGGGAAAACGGCTTCTTTTTAAAGTTGGGAAGTATGTCAAATATACAGAAAATGGAGAATACTATAGTAAACCCCATGTACTTGCTAGGCAAATCTGTAAAACTAAACATTTTACTGTCATTGCTTCAGTCTAATTTAATTTTTGAGAAGGTAAAATAATGGATGGAGTTAAAACCCTCTCTGTACCTCTCCTTGATCTCATCATCTTATTGTCTTGCCCTCTTCCTTAGAGATCACTACTGTCCTGAATTTGGTGTTTGCCATTTCCATGAATATTATTATATAATTATTATGCATATATGTATCATGCTGTAAAATTTTATGTAAGTGGTTTTATACTATAGATATCATTCTGCAACTTAATTCATTTTATTTTTTGCATCAAGACTATGTTTTTGTGGTTGGTTTGGATAGAATGGTTGAATGACTACATCATAATTTGTCAATCCTCCTGTATATGAACATTTTAATTTTTCTGAATTTCAGCTATTAACAGTGCTTCAGTCAATATTTTTAGACATAAGTTCTTCTGACCATGTGCTAGAATTTCTGAAAGGTATAAACCTTTTTTCTACAGCAACGGGTTATGGGTTTTTTAAGGTTCTTTGAGCCCATTAACCGCCAGATGCAGGGATATGTTCTTAGGGAAGGGTGAGATATAATGAGCCTGGATAATTTACTGTTTGTATTAAGTTTATAAGGAGCCTTAGTGGTGCAATGGTTAATTACTCGGCCATTAACCTAAAGGTTGGCAGCTGAAACCCACCCAGTGGCTCCGTGGGAGAAAGACCTGGTGACTTGCTCCCTTAAAGATTGCAGTCTAGAAAATCCTATGGAGCAGTTCTATTCTGCCACATCAGGTTGCTAGGAGTCGAAAATCAACTCAATGGCACCTAATAATAACACAGTAAGTTTACAATAAAAATCAAGTGAATTCTGTTTGGTAACTGTCATTTGTGAGACGATAGTGTTCTAGACACAGTGGTTAAGAGCGTGGCTGCTAACCAAAATGTCAGCAGTTCAAATCTATCAGCCACTCCTTGGAAGCCCCATGGGGCAGTTCTGCTCTGTCCTATATGGTAGCTATGAGTTGGAGTCGACTCAATGGCAACAGGTTTTTTTTTTCTTGGTATACATTGCATTAGTCAGACTGAGTTAACACCCTTCTCTCTATTTCAATGGCTTAGGTGATAAATACGCTTTTATTTTAATTTTCATGTCAGCCCTAAGGCAGTGTACTATGATTCTGTTTTTCCAAATGAGTAAAGTAAATTGAGGTTTAAGGAGATTAAGTAACTTGCCCAAGGTCAAAATTAAGCAAGTGATAGAGCCATAAGTTGAACCTCTCTTGGTCTGATCCCAATTTTTGGGCTTTCCCTTTCTTCCTTAGGATCTATGTTTAACCATTTTTCCTGTGTGTCTGAAAGAGAATTCAAGTAGTAATTCTCCTGATCCAATGATGATCACATTCAGTGTTGACTGAACACAACAGTAGAGGTCAATAGAAATCTATATTCTTATTCTGTATGAAGTTCATAGCTCTATAATAACCTAAATTTTGACAAATATGTTTGGCTCAATAAATTTTCCTTACTGTTACTTTTCATTTAAATCACTGTGGAACCTGTTTAAAAAAAATAAATCTGCCTGCATACAAAATTAATATTATTATTGACTAGCTATGTATAGTGAATTCATCTACATAATCATTAAAATGATGTTCTTAGTGTTATGCATACTTGCTATAGAGGGGCATTTTACTTTTTTGGATTTATAATCATTTGATATGATGAATTCTTTTGATGTTTGTTGATGTCTCCTATGGACATTTCAAAGCTGTACACATGGGACCATCCAGAGAAAAGGAACACCAAGATAGCTCATTTCCTCTTACGCCTTTAAAAGTTGGTGTTTGACTTGCTGTGGGTATACTGGAAGTGCTTTCTTCTAGAATATTTTCTTTGAAGTATCTTAAAAATGTTCTCAGCCCTACACAACTATGCTTGTTGCTAAGTGACCCATGTTTAAAATCAGACGTACTCTAATTATTTAGATGTGACTTTTTATTAGAGTTGAGAATCTAATTAGTAAATATTTTAAAATTTCTACTTTATAATTTTTATGTAGAGAAGATAAAACATGCTACCAGAGAGCATTGAAAGGTCAACTGGAATAAACTTTTAGATTGTATAATCTAAAAATGCTAAGGTCAGTAAAAAGGAAAACCAAATTGCCATAGGGAGTTCTTATTTATCAACTGTGGAAATATGGTTTCAAAACCTCTGTTCCTCTGTCACTCTTTGGGAATCCAGTCTGTTTTCTTTCCACTGCCTTTCCCTCTCATTACTGGAGTACACAGGAATGACATTTCTCAACCCTTAACTAGAAGGAGTGAAAGTTTAGCTTTAGAATCTTGGGCATAGAATAGTCATGTGAAGTACAGGTGGTCATTTCAGATCAGAAGCTGAAACTCTTTTCTCTAGGATAGGAGAGAGGAACTTGAATAGCATCTTTCTTGTACATAGCTGAATTATAGCAGTGCCTCAAGTGAGCATATTTGAGACATCACCATCATTATTTGCTTATTAAGCCACTTACACTTTACAAAGCACTATCCTAAGTAGTTAGAAAGATAAAAAGCAGTCCAAAATCCCTTTAGTACAGGGATTGAAAATGCAGCCTTCGGAATGAATCCAAGCCTGCAGACATGTTTCGTTTACCTAGCCCCAAAATGGCTTAACATTTGTCTTTAATTAGTTGTCAAAATTTAGAAATTGGGAGATTATGCACAGTATTGTTTATTTCTGGCCCGTTTTGAAAAACTGGAAGATCTTGTAATACTGGGTTTGCATTCCAACTTGGTAATGTTCATCTTCATTTATTCTTTCAACAGATATTTATTGAATGCCCACTGTGTGCGAGGCATTGTCCTGGACTCTAGGGATATAACAACAAACAAAGTAGACAAAGTCTCATCTCTCAGGAAGCCTACATGCTAATGGAGAGAGAGAGACAATAAACAAATAAATGTGTATGTCAGGTGGGTGATATATGCTATGAAGAAAATCAGTGTTCTGAGCTGAGTGGTGGCTGACCCATTTACTTGCATTTACTGGCATTTGCTTCCCAGTGTAACTTAATCTAGACCACTTTTGTCCTTTTGTGCCGAGTCCACTTCACCTTCTTTGATCAGGTAGTTATTTGGGTTTTCAATACTTGTTTGGGGGATAATTCAGTAGGGGAGCCAAGGAATAAGGAGTAGGAAAGATAGGAATAGGAATAAGAAAAGCAATGAATTCACTAATTTTGAATTAGTGACAATAGCATTCACTAATTATCAAGTGAAAGTTGTAGAAGATAAGTTCAAGACAGTTTAGAAGAGGGAGAAATTTCTGTGGTTTGGAGTCTAGAGATCTACTTCATAGAAGAGGTGGGATTTAGTGTGGACTGAAGTGATGGTTTGGTCTTAGAGAAACAAATGTATGTATAAAATTCTAGGAAGAGGAGATGTTATGAAAAAGGTCACAGATACAGGGATATCTATGGGAGATAGTATGGCATTCTAGTTATAAACATGGATTTAAGAATCAGATAGGCCTGTTTTTCAATTTCGGCTCTGCTTCCATGTGATCTTAGTTAATTACTTAACCTCTCTTTATCACTTTTTTTTTTTTTTAACTGAAAATATGAATTCTTCCTTTACATTGTTGTCCCGGTTACTGTTGTGACAAAACAAACCACCCCAAAGCTTAGTGGCAGAAAACAACCACTTTATATACTGAAGGTTTCTGTGGGTTAGGAATTTGGACAGGGAACAGTGGGGATAGCTTGTTTCTACTCAATGATGTCTGGGGCCTCAGTTGAGGACTTTTGATAGTTAGGCGTGACTCAACATCGGGGGGCCAGAATGAGCTGGAAACATCTTCACCCGTGTGTTTGGGGTTAGTACTGGCAGTCTCTTTGGAACTTAGCTGGAGCTGTGGGCCAGATCACCTACATGTGGCCTCTCCATGTGGCCTGGGCTTCCAGAAAGCATGGTGGCCTCAGGGTGGTTGGACTTCTTACATGGTACTTCAGGGCTCTAAAGGTGAGTTTCCCAAAATAACTAGATGGAAGCTACATGACCTTTTCTGACTTATCTTCATAAGTCACTCAGTATCACATACACAACGTCTAATAGGTTCAAACAAGTTACTAAATATGGCCCTGATTCAGTAGCGAGGATGTAGACCCCACCTCTTGATAGGAGAAGTGTCAGATAATTTGTGGAAGTGTTTTAAAATCAATACAGTTTGCTCTCTGGCCATAAATCATTTCGGTTCATCCCATGTACAAAATCCACTCACCCCTTAAGAAAGGGTGAACCACCAATAGGTTTTATCCTATTACAGCATCAGGCCCAAGTTTGATGTCTAGGATCTCACCATATAATTTAGGTCCAGCTGCAGAGTGAGATCTTGGGTTTGGTCTCTTGGGCATGATTTCTCTTACTCTGAAGACCTGTCAAGTAAGAAGACAAGTTAGTTACCCCCTGCATACCCAATATGCAGTGGTAAAACAGGCATATGATTATTTCAATAGACACTCCCGTTCAAAAATAGAGAAAATGAGAGGATACAACAGTCAGTGGCCCATAGCAATTCTGAAATCCAATTGGGCACATGTTGCTAATTACTTTACTA